CCATAACCTTAATATAAATATATTTTTTTATTGTAAATATTTCCCCAAACTTGGGAGGAAAAGACTGATTCCTCTCTTGATGGATCTTAAAAGCAAAATCTTATATGTAGATATGAAAAATAATTGATATATATATATTTTAGTTTCACACATTTATTAACACTCATTATTTTAGTTATTAAAATTTAAAACTTTAATTTTTTTTTACTTTTAATTTAAATTTAAAAATAATAATTTTTTCATTACAAATGTCTTATTGTACATATAGTGTTTAATTAAATTTTGAGAGTAGTATCAAAAAATTTTTTTTCTTAATACAATATATGTACAATAAGACGACATTTGTTAACATGTAAATCCAACATTTGGATTAATATGAATATATACATAATATAGCTTTTCTTAAATATTTGTTACATTCTATTGGTCAAGTTGATTTTTTTATTTGATTCCTCCATTGCTCCTTAAAAGGTTTCTTTCTATAAATAATGAGGTACTCTTGAAACCAGAAGGGGAAAAGAGACGGTCCAGGAGAATAGGAAATATGGACTTTGACCAGAGCTGCCTTTGGAGAGAGACTTCTTTTGAATCGTTTTTGCCTTCCTCCTTCTCTCAGCAACAACTCGGTGGCACCCTCGACGGATCGCCGTCGTTCACGGCAAACAACGACAACCCTACTACCGTCAGGAAGCTCAATCACAATGCCAAGGAGCGTGAACGCCGCCAGAAGATCAACGGTCTCTTCTCTTCCCTCCGTTCACTACTTCCGGCATCTCATCAAGTGGTAAATATATCAATCATCTCCATTTTTACCAGCACAATATTCATGTTCACACCTTAAATTTAAAGTGGCCAACATGAATCCTTGCCCCTCATTTGTTGATTATTATCTATTGAATATATTCCTATTTTTACCAAAAAAAAAAAAATGAATCTCTGAAAATTTTTTTATAGGCTTTTACATATTTTCAAGTAACCATAGTTTTCATTTTTACTAGCTAGTATAGGATGATATGTAGGTATCTGTAAAATTAATCAAATAAAAAAAAATTATTACAAATATTTAAATTATTGCATTTATCTCACAATCAAGATCTTATAGTGGGTATCAACTAGACTAAATTAGTGTGAATACATCTTGATTGTATGGATGCATATGTTAACATTGTAAATTTCTCTTTTGTGAATGTGAAATAGTTTAATTGTGTAGAATAACCTAAATAGAAATAGGGTGTATAATTCATATAGTGTATTTGAGATATCCAATATCTAATACTAATAGGACAGGAACTGCCCTAACCTAGGACACAGAACAAATATGCACATCAGCAAGACATTATAAACTGAAACATAGAACACGGAAAGACAGAGAGGGGAAAGGGACTTCTAACCCCTTCAAGAATGTGATTTTATGGTTCTTGAAGCTTGAGATTTCTAATCAGAACATATTGAGTTTGAATTTTTAGATGAATAGGAAATGACTTTATAGCAAGCTAGCTGCTCCTTATTTTATAGCCGCAGTTGGATAGGCTTCTATGCCTAGAAAATTTCTTCCAAATGTACAATTTTATTCATGGCTGTCTAAATTTCCACAGAAAAAGTTGACAACACCTGCCATAGTTTCGAAGGTGCTGAAATACATTCCAGAACTACAGCAGCAAGTGGAAGCAATGGTTCAGAAGAAGGAAGTTTTGTCAAGGATTCCTGGACCAGGGAAGCAAAAGAAAAGCGTTACCGGAGGCTGCACGGCGGCCAATATTTCAGCAAATCGCCTAAGTGATACGGAGGTGATGCTTCAGCTTTCCACATACAAAGTCCATAAAACTTCACTGTCTGATATCTTGGTGAAGTTAGAAGAGGATGGGTTTCTTCTCATAAATGCTTCCTCTTTTGAATCCTTCGAAGGAAGAGTCTTCTATAATTTACATCTTCAGGTGCGGTGACCTCTTTCAAGCATTATTTTTCTTTTGATTTTTTTTAATACATATATAGTACTCCACTTGTGATTTAAAAATATAGATAATTTTATTATGAAACTATATATATTTAATTGTATTATTTTTCTTTTGATACGTACAAATATTTGGGTCGAGTAAGGTATTTCAATTTTTAGTCGGTTTGGGATTACCCAAAAAAACTAGCTGGTTAAGTATAAAGCATGCTTTAGCACCAGGGTGACCACCTCGCAAAGCCATCAGACAATGAACCTTAGAATTTGGCTCTGGCTAGAGTGGCTTGGCGAGTGCCTAGAATGCCTAGTGCACCTAGGATATCACCTAGGTGAGCCTAGTTATTTTTTTTTTTCCCATTTTTCTATAAAGAGCTGTTGCCTAGGCACGGGGCGATGGGGTAATAATGGCTTAGCACCGCCTATCACTTCTTTAAATTATATATTAATCTCTCTTCTTATTGTCAATAATGAAGCCTTGAAATATGTACGTAGATGCGCGGTAACGGTAATACAATTTTGAAATTTTAAGTTTGAGTTTTATTATATAAATTTAATTTAATTTTATAATAACGTTTATATTTTGATTTAATGATTGATTTGTACTATAGTTGTGTAATATATATTGATGGATCAATGCGTATAAAGTCTAGGTGTCATGAATTGTAATTTGTATTTTTTTTTAAGTAGAAATTGTTTTTGATTGAGAAAATGTGTAAATAAAAATATAGATTTTATTTATTTTTTATTTAAAAATATGAATGTTGTTGTTTTTTAAATAAGATAATATATTTTTAACTTTTTTAATTAAGAATATTAACTTTATATTTTTTTCTATTTAGGGATTTATTGGATGGTAATATTAATGTGATAAGTAATTTTTTTAACCATTTAGTTAATCTTTAAATTAAAAGAACACAAAATTAATATTTTTAAATAGAAAAAATTAAAAATTTATTGTATTATTTAAAAATTAATGAAGTACACATTTTTAAATAAAAAATGATAAAATTTGTATCAGCATCTTTTCTCTTTTTGAATTGGATCAGCATTAGCAGTCCAGGCTGGGAATTATGCTTATTTTTTTTTAATCATCAACATTTCATTAATGAAAATTTTTAGTAGAGTTAGTTTGTTAGCAGCTGGAATTTTTCCAGGAAAGTAAACCTTCCACCCCCTCATTTGAGGCGCGCGACCATTAGGTCGCAAGTTG